GCAGTCTTTGTAAAGTGTCTTGAAATATCATGTGATGGTTCTAGGAAGTGTCTGTTAGAGGTGTTAAATACCCCACTTATTATGAAAGCCAGTTGCAGCGGTTCTGCTGTTCTCTGTTTTGATTACCTAGTGTGTTTGCAATGCCCTTATCACTAAGGAGCTGGGTTAAATACTAAAAAAAGTGCGGCTAGGAAAATTGTTGTCTTTAAGCAGGTGCTGATCATAACCTTGGGATCAATATGGCTGAGGTGTCCAGACCTTTGCTCTGAACGTGGCTGGACATTTGGCCATTTGGCTTTGAAAAATGAGCTAGTGGCTTAAATTCTGAATGGCGGGTTAGGCAGCTGGAAACTGTTGAAGGAGTAAACAGGACATCTACTTATGGAAGACCTTGAGTGCCTGACCTTGCACTGAATATATTTGGTATTCCTTTATTTTTAAGCCATGGCTAACTCTTGAAGCATGCGGTGCCTTTTAGCGAAGGCCCCTCGCTCTTGCCTGCTAGTGTCCCTTGAGGATGGTACAAGACTTGAGACAGAGAAGACGACTCTGAAAGAAATGTAAGGAAGAAGATAGGTACTAAACTGAGGTGACAGATCCTGCACAGTGCTAACTATGGGCTGGCTCTATGTGAGAGGAGGTAGAAGGAAAGTGAAGCTTCAGAAAAGCAAACAACTGCTGTCCGGGTGGAAGCAGCATCGCTAAGTGGCTGCCTCTCTCCGTATGATGCCTGGAGATCTTCACCAGCTTTTTATAGTATTTTATAGCATAATTAAAGAATACACAAGTATAATATTTATAGTATTTTTTGTATTACTAATTATATTAAATATTTCATTATAAATGTTACATTAATTGTAGGATCCTAGGATGTTATCTCTGAATACAGAATCCCTACAGTGGGAACCAGAGCTGGCTTCACAGGCTGTGGTCATGCTAAAGCTGCATGGTGCTACTCAGTCTCGATAGTAATAACTCTACTAATGATCTTGTCTTGCAAACTTGTTTACTTTGTACGAAGGTATGTCTGTTACTATTACTTTGTTGCTATGTCATATTAAGTGCAAGTAGGTAGACCACCAGCTTACTTTATATTGGCAAAGTGTGAATTATAAAAATATAGCTGGTTTTCTATAGCGACTGATTTAAGGCTAATGCTTATGTAATTATAGTTGAGATATGGCTTTTCAGTATTGTTACTGAAATATGGAGTGGGACTTGAGTCCATGATTGGGAAAGCCTCGATCACTTCTAATGTGAGGGTGAAATGCAAATAAGTGTCACTAACTTTGTCTTATTATTAAATAGGTTTAAGTGGAAATCCAGCAGATATAGAAAGGAGAGAAGCAGTTTTTGGGAAGAACTTTATACCTCCTAAAAAGCCAAAAACATTTCTTCAGTTAGTATGGGAAGCACTACAGGACGTTACACTAATTATATTAGAAATTGCAGCCGTAGTATCCTTGGGCCTTTCTTTTTACCAGCCTCCAGGAGGAAATGAATCACGTAAGTAAATTTTTTTAAAAGTAGGTATCTACCTGCTCCAACATGCCTATACTGTAAATCTGATGGGAGACAGTAAGTCAGTGGAAAAGCAGCTTATTGTTCCTTATTGAGAGAACACTACTAGAACTCTAGCTTGCCTTAAAAAGCTATTAAAAGACAATTTCCCTGGTCATGATCTGGTATCATTCTGACCAAAATAAAGCTGAAGGTAAAGTGCAAGCAGCCAGAACAATGACTTGTCTTGGATCCAGTCACGGTTTTGTGCAAGTGCTTTTTTAGCTTTGCCTCAAATATTTAAGCAATTTATAATTTGCGGACATGTGCTTTCTTTGGGGAGTCAGCAAGTCTTAAATTTTCCTTGATTTGCAATATGACACTGGTAACTTTCTAATTTAAGAAATGAAGCTATGTTTATGCTTTAAATGGAGGATGAAGGGATCTGGCCTTTATTGAACTGAATTTTTGCAAGGATATCTGGCTTGTTAAGATAAAGGTAAAGTGAGAAATGTTGAGAAAGCAGAAGGTGGTTAATGAATTGTCTAGTCTGGCATTCTTACGGCATCATTTAACAAGATAATAAGGACAGGTAACTTTCTATATCAACTTCTCTGATGTTCAGATAAGCAGGTATGTAAATTCTGGGTGGTTTAACTTCCTTGAACTCCGCTCTAGCTTTCAAGTTCTTTAACTCCTTTGTGCGTTATCCTTACTGAAAATAAACGTAAAATTGTAAAGGAGGCTGGCATGGAAAATGTTTAGCAGCTATTAGTAGTTTCTTCTGTTTGGCACAATTTTTTTGTTGTTGAAATAACTATCTGCGTGAACTTTCTTAAATCTAAAACCTGTTTTCTACAGTATGTGGATCAGTAAATATTGGTGAAGAAGAGGAGGAATCTGAAGCAGGTTGGATTGAAGGAGCAGCAATCCTCCTATCTGTAGTTTGTGTGGTATTAGTAACAGCTTTCAATGACTGGAGTAAAGAGAAACAATTTCGGGGATTGCAGAGCCGTATTGAACAAGAACAGAAATTCACAGTCATCAGAGGTGGCCAAGTCATCCAAATACCAGTAGCTGACATAATTGTTGGAGATATTGCGCAAGTGAAATATGGTAAACATATTTTTAAAGTTGAACTTTCTTTTATTTTTAAAAAAGGAACTGCAGTCAACATACCCAGTGATCTCTCGTAGGTGATCTTTTACCGGCTGATGGTGTACTCATTCAAGGAAATGACCTCAAAATTGATGAAAGCTCACTGACTGGAGAATCTGATCATGTTAAGAAATCTCTGGACAGAGATCCTATGCTGCTGTCAGGTGTGTAATATTTGACAATTCTTGAAGAAAGTGGTTTGTTTCTGGGGGTAAACTGGTTATTTAAAATTTCGAGGTTAAAATCTGGCAAATTGGACCTTATCTAGGCTGACTCCTAAAAGTATCCAAAACCAGGGCAACTAGTACAAAACATTGTCAAAGTGAGCAGACTTTTAAAACTGACAAACACTTTGTGTAGTTGCTTATGGTTTTACTTTCCAGACAGTTTTGGCAATTAAAGCTCTAGGGGAGCACAGTGGTATTTGTAAAAACACCTTATGGTTTTGTCAACGTGAAGTTTGAGAACCTATTTCCTTTGTGCTCTGCCATATAACTGCTCGAGTCTCAGTGGGAAACTTGATTCAATCTTTCAGGTACACATGTGATGGAAGGTTCTGGAAGAATGGTAGTTACTGCTGTAGGTGTGAACTCTCAGACTGGAATCATCTTTACCTTACTTGGGGCTGGAGGAGATGAAGAGGAGAAGGAGAAGGAAAAAGAGAAGAAGGACAAGAAAAGTAGGCATAATTTTTAAATCCCTGGGGAGGGAGGGGTAACCTCATGAATGTTACTGGATAAAAACATGTTCTAGTCATCTGGAGCCAGAAATCTTTTTTTTTTAAACCTCATACTTTCAGTAGGTTTCACAGGAAAATAAAACCTCTGGTCCAGAGGCCTGAGAGTACACCACTGCTAGTAACTTTTGCCACATGGATTTTTAATTAAATTTCAGATCTCACTGATCAATTAGAGGTTGGAAAGTTTACAACTCCTAACCAGCCATACCAAGGATAAACTGTTAAACTGCCATATTGTGTAACTTCAAAATGCATTCCTGTCTAATAGCAAGTATTTGTTTATGGCCAACAGGTTATTACCAATAACTCAGTAAGTATCTAGTTCTGCTTTTGACAGATAGAAAATGTCCTGGATAGGGAGTTCTTCCATGACACTTGAAAGGGAAAAGCTTGTATCAATGATACTGCTGAGTCCGTGGATATCTTGAACATATGTAAGACTGATTTTGGTAAAGGTGAGCAGACAGCTGCTTCTGCCACTCCTTTTCTTCCAGAGCTGAAAGTTTGAATGCTCAGATATATACATAAGGCAAATCCTAGTGGTACTTTTCTGTAAACTTTTATTTTTGGAGAGATGAGAGGTTTGTAACCCGGAGCATTTTGGAGCCCTTCTGTGAAGTGCGAGATGGGCTATCTTCCCTATTCTGAAGGACTTGCTCAATAGCTGGAACTATAAGTCACTTATCTAAGCCATAGCCTTTAGCCTGAGAATCAAAGCTTAGAAATGTTAACCAGTAATGTTTTGATACTAGCTCTCACAAGGCGTGTTCAGGATTGAGGTTCTCCACAGCAAAAATTTTTGTAGCAACTGTTGTGAGGTCTACTGGATGAGACTGAGTCTGAGGATTCTTGGTAGGAAAATACACATTTTCATCAGAGGAATATGAAACAGTAATGGAAAGCCATAAATGGAAATCCGTACAGAAATGTGCTTAGGAATCTCAGTGCCTTCAAACTAAAGAGGCAATTGTTGAGATGTGTGCTCTGTGCAGGAATTGGGATTGAACTGTGCTTTTTGTCATCTTGTCCTAATCCACAAATACCTTACAGTTCTGACCCCTCTTGAAACTTGAAGTAGTAAGCTTCTTCAGAAGTAAGTTACAAGAATTGTTATAAGAAGAATTGAAAGTTCAAAATCAGTTTCAAGCTCAAATGTGGTAGTGAAGAGTAAAAGTTGACCTGCAACACTTCCAGGAATTAGTGTGGAACAATTTCCATCCTTTGCACTCTTCTCTTACAGAGGAAGGAGGAGAAAGCAAGGAACAGTACCAGCTGCTACAGGAGATATGGAGAAGATTATAGCTTTTATTAATATTCTGCCAGTGTCTATTATTCTATAAGCAGAAGTCTTTTTGACAAGTAGTGTTTTGGTGTATCCTAGGGCCTGAACATTTGTGGATTTTTTTTTTTTTTGTCTCCCAAGATAGACAACTTCCTCTTTCATTTAGGTGCCTGATAAGATTCTCCTTGGTAAAACTCAGGTTAAACTAAGTTAGCTTCTCTGTGAATGTTAAGGAGATTAAAGTGGCTATTTTTAGTTGGCTGCGTATGGCTTGGTTCAGAGTGAAAGCAAATATATGTGCAAGGAGTTAGAAGTGTAGGGTTAGAAGTATAGAACTTTGCTCTTCTAAGAGGGAAATAAGAACTAGGAAAGAACAAGTACTAAATTAGACAATGGTGAGTTCTTAAGAGGTCTGAAGTGGCATCTTCTGGAGAAGGTGAACATGCGTTTTTTTTCTTCTCAGCTGTTCTGAGGATGCTCGGGGAGAAATGTTATGTATAGAGATCAGACTATGTCCACAATAACAATGTAGTGGAGGTATTAAATGTCATCTCAGGCAGGCTGCTTGATAATTTGATTTTCTTCTTCCTGAGTACTCCCATACATTTCAGTCTCCATAACCTAAGTCCGAAGACTTAATGAATTACCAATGAGACTGAAAAGCTCCTCAATTTTGTGCTTTAATTTCAGGTTATTGCAAATAGTAATATAACACTTGCTTTCTCTACTTAAGAGTTTGTCACTTGCCAAGGGCCAAGGTAGTATCTGAACCTTTTTATCCGAAAACCCTAATTAAACAGGTAGTGTGGCATCCAGCCCCCATAAGCGGCATGTGATCTGTTGGTTTTCTAGTTACTTTTAATATTTCACTTATTCATTTATTTCATTATTTTACTGTCCTTCTTTATGATCACTTGTTGAATTCCATTTCTGAACAGAGATAGGAACTATATTTTATTATGAACTTGAACTATTCTCTTAGTAGTGTAATATTGGTATGTTGCCAACAGATTATGGTCATGCTTGCGTAAATAGGGTTAGCATAGATCCAGTAATCCAGTGCTGTACCTCCATTAAGCTTTGGTGGGGATTTATAAGTATTTTATACTACAGTTGCTTCTGCAGTGTTGTGCAAAAGCACTGATTCTGGCAGTGAGATCCTACAGTTCATCTATAGTAGTTGTCACATACAGTTGCCAAGTGTTTGAAGAACAGTGAGCAAAACAGACACCACCAGAATCACTTTAATGTCACAAATTTCTCTCCTAGAAAAACATTTAAGCAAGCCTTTAAAAAGCTTTCCTCACAAATAAAAATGTCTGTATCAGTAATTTGTGCAAACTTAACTATGGTAGTATAGCACTGCAGCAGTCTTGTATGGGAAAAGTAAAGCCCAAAAAACTGATGTGAGCTGTTTCTGTGAGTTGACTTATACTTTTAAAGCCTCAGTTATGTCAGCCTTCAGTCTCCAGTTCTACACTTTTTTAAAAAATGCAGTTGCTTAATTCAATATATGGTAATGTATATATTGTATATAAACGTAAACAATGAAATGAACTCTGTAAAGCCAGTTAAAAACACAACTTGTTCCCCTCTCCAACAGGTAAAAAGCAAGATGGAGCTGTTGAAAACCGTAACAAAGGTAAATGCAGGTTCTCTGATCCTTTCTTGCAAGTCCTTGTTTACTTGAGAGTGTTTGTAATGAATACATACTTTCCTACGAAAATGCATATTGAATAGTTAGATCCAAAGTGCTTATGCTGAAGATGGCATAAGCGAATCTGCGCAAAACAGATGCTTAAATGAACTTGGTAGTCTCGACGTAGCTAGATACTACAAAAGTAAACTTTATCGATGATTTTCAAGCTGTCTTGTGGAGGTGAGTTAACCTTGGCTGGCTGTCAGATGTCCGCCTAGCTGCTCTCTCACTCCCCCTCCTCATCAGGACAGGGCAGAAAATAGAATGAAAAGCTTGTGGGTTGAGATAAGGACAGGGAGATCACTTACCAGTTATCTTCACAGGGAAAAACAGACTCAACTTGGGGAAGATTAATTTATTGCCAATTAAAAATAGTGTAGGATGGTGAGAAACAACAGCTAAAACTACCTTCACCCCACTCCTCCTTCTTTCCAGGGTCAACTTCACTCCTGACTCCTCTACCTCCGCCCTCCGAGGAGTGCAGGGGGATGGGGAATGGGGTTTTTTGGTCAGTTCATAACATTTCTCTGCTGCTCCTTCCTCCTCACTCTCTTCCCCTGCTCCATCATGGGAGCCCTCCCACGGGATACAGTCCTACATGAACTTCTTCAGTGTGGGTCCCTTCCCCAAAGTACAGCCCTTCAGGCACAGACTGCACAAGTGTGAGTCTCCCATGGGCCACAGCTCCTTCCAGGAGCCTGCTTTGGCACAGGCCCTTCACAGGCTGCAGCTTCCTTCAGGGCACATAGCCTGCTGCAGCATGGGGGTCCTTCATGGGCTGCAGTGTGAATATGTGCTCCAATCTGGTCGTCCATGGGCTGCAGGGGGACAATCTGCCCCACTGTTGTCTTCTCCACAGGCTGCAGCTCCCCTGCTGCCAGCACCGGGACACCTGCATCCAATACACTTGTTTAAACATTCATGTGCAGCATGGCGTCTCTGGATACAAGGCACTACGCAGTACTGGTGTTTAGTGGAGCCTGGTGTTATTAAGCTTTTTAAGTATCGTTGATTTGGAGGGACTTCTGAACGGTTAAACTTTATTTTATCTTAACTTCTAGCTAAAGCCCAGGATGGTGCAGCCATGGAAATGCAACCACTGAAGAGTGAGGATGGTGGGGATGGAGATGAGAAAGACAAGAAGAGAGCAAATTTGCCAAAAAAAGAGAAGTCGGTTCTCCAAGGCAAACTTACAAAGCTCGCAGTTCAGATTGGCAAAGCAGGTATGATGTATCAGTACCCTCCTTGTTGGTGTCAAATGTTTGAATGAAGCTGAAGCATGCATAGTTTGTGAGGGGATAACTTAAGTAGGTGGCCTTGACCGGCTTGATTATTTTAAGTGCAAAATTCCAATGCATGCAAGTATGCAATTGTGCCTGAGTAGGCTGATGGCTTTTCAGACTGTGTCATGTGGATGGCTTTTATTTTTCCTTGATTTAAATAGAGTCGAGCTTTAGATTGTCAGCTTCTGGGAGAGAAAATTCCAACTTCATAACACTGAGCAACTGTTATGAAAAATGTTTTTTGATAAGATACAGCATTTAGTGATGTACCTAAAGAACTATAAATTGACTGAAGCCTGGGAAGTGTGGTAGGGTTGACCAGGTTATCTCTCTCTGGTACTTCCAGAGGCTTAGGAATTTCCACTTAACATCTGCCTTGCTGATATGTAACATTTTTATTGACTTTCTACTGTCCTTTAGCTTCTGTTACTCTTCTATCGGCTAATCTTTAGCTGTCTTGTCAAAACATTTGCTGCTAAACTGTTGCTTCTTGAAAGAAGACTAAAACAACAATAAAGTTCAGCGTAAATTTTAGGCTATGTTATCTAGTATGTAGAAGTTTAATTCAAATATTTCAGGATTTATTTTGGCGCATGTAGCATTGTTGAAGGATTTAGGCTAGAAGGAACTTCTAGAAGTCTCGTAGCTCAGCCCACAGCTCAAAAAGGGCTGAGACTTCAGCATCTATATCATAAGACAGTTATGGTGTGAGGACAAAGTGATTACACTTCCAGCTTTAGCACTTCATAGTTGTGTAGAGCAATGTTAACTTTTCAGAGAAACTTGTACTAACAGACATTGAATAAAGCTTCCGTGGTATGTTTAATGTAAATTGCTATTCTTATCAAACAATTTTTTCACGTCTTTCAGAAGTAAGGGCTCTTGCTTTCCTTTGTGTGCCTTTTGACCCATTGTAATTCCCCACACCCCCTCAATGCTCATCTACTTCACGCATGCATTTTTCCGTGCTGCTGCTTTGGGATGGTCCACACACTGAAGCATCTTTATATAAAGAGCTGACACTTCAGTGACTTCTGCTCCTTTACTCGAGCCAGGTCCATTTTCCTTCACTGTTTTCCTGTGGTGTCTTAAGTGTGCTGCTCAGCTTGCTAACAGCAGTTCTGATTTGTCTTCCTAGTTACTCCCAGTTCATTCAGCTTCCCTGCCATTTTTAACCCTACCTCAAGCAGGAGCCAGGGTACAGACTGTCAGCAGCTTTCTCTACTGAATAAGTCATCAGCACAATTGTTGAAAGCCTGCTGAATTATTTCAGTTTTTATTCTGCTTACTCAATTGACTTTACATATTGGTCTCTCCTGTTCATAATTAGATCTACACTTTTCAATTAAATGGGGGAAAAAAAAAAGATTTTAGAAATTCCTAGGTGAAATGCATGAGGAAATACCTGCATTGGAAGTTGGAACAACTTTGAGAACTACCTCAGTGTTTCCTGGCTTGCCTGTTTAAAAACCTAGCTATAAACTAACTTCTATAAAGGCAGAAGTATTTGCACTTGACTTATCCACAGTCTGTATTGCCAAATATTCGAGATAATTTCTGAAAACTGTTTATTCTCTTTTTAACAAGGTTTATTGATGTCTGCAATCACAGTCATTATCCTTGTGTTATATTTTGTAATTGATACCTTCTGGGTTCAGAAGAGACCCTGGCTTGCTGAATGTACACCAATTTATATTCAGTATTTTGTGAAGTTCTTCATTATTGGAGTTACAGTCTTGGTGGTGGCAGTGCCAGAAGGTCTTCCACTTGCAGTCACTATATCTCTGGCTTACTCTGTTAAGGTAAGTGGATAGATGGGGAACAGATCTTAAAGGTGTATTCATCAGCTGTAAAATCTCAGTTGAGATATGCTGCATCACATATACGTAACAGTTTGGGGAGAAACTTTCTTGTTTCCCTGAACTGCAAAAGAAACCAGCCCCAGTATTTTTCTTAATCTCTGAATGCACACTGACATGAACAATGATCAGTGACAGCCTGTTGTCACCAACTAAGATGAATGAGTTTAGCTCATAACATTGTAGCACTTGCTTAAAATAGATAGGTGTGTTAGAGTTTGTAAATAACAAACTCTTCTGTAAACCTGAACTTCTACCTAACTGATGTGTTAAGTAACTGCTACGAAAGTTTCCAGATTTATTCTCCTTGAGGACTAAATATTGTAGAATATGCAGCTTTCTGTTTACTATACAGTATGTTTTTTAACTCGTGCTCTGTGTTCTCTTAATTTTCTTATTGCTTCAGCATGCTGGGACTGGTATTGACTCAAAAATCTAATTGTAAAGACAATGGCTGTTTAGGCTGTGTTCTAAAAGTCAGTAACTTACAGTACTAGCTAGTAATGGCTTTAGTATTGTATCATTTGAAGCTACTCTGTCTCTTCAAGGTTAAAATACTATCCAAACTTGATAAGTAAACTATGAAATTTGTGTAGTCCTCGCTATCAGAGCTGAAACATTAGGCTTCCAGTTTATATTTGCTTTTAAGTCTGGCAATAGCATCTTTGAAATAAATATCAACTGGTGTTTGGATATGTTTGTAACATAGCTTACCTGATCTTTCTTGCAAGCAGAAGTAGGGGTTTTTTTTAATGTTGTATCTGGCAAAGCTCAGTCTCTACCTCTCCTCTATTTCTAAACATCATCATAAACTATTTGTTTGTAACAGCCTGACTAGTATCAGTAGTCAGAGTAACATGCAGATACAGGAGATTAAGACTGTATTTATTAACTTTGTTCAAAGTGAAATTTACTGTGACATGATAGACTTAAAGGAATCCTTACGGAATGTGGCAGCTACAAATTCTTCCTCTGCAAGATGCCAGATAACTTAAAGCCTGAGTCTATTCTGAAACTGCTGTGTAAGACTGGATACCCTGAATGAGAATTTCTGAAATGTGAAGTAATGGTCACGGCTAGCTGTTGACTGCTTTTATTTCCGTAGAAAATGATGAAAGATAATAACTTGGTGAGACATCTGGATGCATGTGAAACAATGGGCAATGCAACAGCTATTTGCTCAGATAAAACAGGAACGTTGACCATGAACAGAATGACAGTGGTACAAGCCTACATCAATGAAAAACATTACAAAAAAATTCCAGAACCAGAAGCTATTCCAGAGAAAACTATGGCTTACCTTGTGACAGGAATTTCTGTTAATTGTGCTTATACTTCCAAAATACTGGTAAGTGGATTTCTTCATTCCAGTTGAGGTAACTAATCAACTTCCTCAAAAGATGCAAATTGTCTGGTGGCCACATGGTAGGCAGTTAAGTGTAAGTGTGTGCCAAAATGCAGTGTTAGGTATTTTGTACCTGCTGTAAATTACTCAACTGTTCATTTGAGACTGAATTTCAAAAATAGCTTATTTCAGTTAGAACTGATAATTCAAAGATACAATCTCAGGAAGATAACTTTGTTTAAGTTCACGGTTGTGTCTACATTTGTTTTTAAAAGTGGGGTTGTTTACTTTACTTGAAGAGCATCTTGGATTGATTTGAGCTCTACCTCAAAGTAAACATGTAAGAGTAGCATAACATTAGCTAGAATGTAATGAGAAAATGCAAGTACAGATGAGGATTTTGACGGATTTTTAATCCAGATACTGTTGTATGAGTTTGTAGGCTTTAGAATTGTAACATCTTTGCTCATACCTTGTTTGAGACTTCCAAAATATTTTGAAATAAAAAGAATAATGGACTGTTGCGCATCACAAATACTGGACTATTTAGTACTTTTTTGTGCAACCTTTTCTGCTACTCCAAACATAGCTTCCTTGCTGTAGTTATTCCAACGTGTTGTATAACATATTCTTTAAGGCAGCAAAAATAATAATTAGGATTCAGCTTCAAAAAGTAAATAAATAGCACTTCAAGATTTAGTAGAAGCCTCCACTATGAATGCTTTGTACAGGAATAGCAGTAAAACCCCAGTCAAAAAGCTACTTTTCAGCCAGTAAAGATGGTACCTCTGCAAGAATTTCCTCAATAGCAGTACTTGAGGTGGCACATCAAGATCGCCAGCACCAATTTCTCTGAATCGAGACTGAAATACCACTAATGAGTTATAGCATGTGAGGAATTTCACAGTCTATTTTCTAAAGATCTTTTTATAGAAAGGGAAAAAAAAAAAAAGTAGCTGCATGTAAACTGAGCAGGTCCCTTACTACTACAATTTTAATGAAATTATATCCCATGCAGTCAAAGTTAGTCTGTTTTACATAATCGCAGAGTGCTGAAAGGAACTTCTTGAGATCCATTGGTCCAACTCCCCTGCTCAAAGCAGGGTCAGCCAGAGCGTGTTGCTCAGGGCTATGTCCAGTCAGGTTTTAAGAATCTCAAAGGAGGGAGACTCTGCAACCTTTGGGCAACCTGGTCAAGCATTTGACCACCCTTAGAGTAAAAAGGTGTTTCCTTAAGTTCAAATGGAATTTCAGAGTTTCAGTTTGTACCCATTGCCTGTTGTCCTTTCGCTGGGTACCACTAAGAAGCCTGGCTTGGCAGTCTTTACCATCGCTCCACCCGCTTGCCCCATTAAGTCATTTAATACACGCTGATAAGTTTCTTCCCCAGAGCCTTCTCTTATCCAGGCTGAACAATCCCAGCTCTCTCAGCCTCTCCTCATATGTAAGGTGCTCTGGTCCTTTTAGCATCTTTGTGGCCCATGGCTGGATGCCCATGTCTTTTGTACCGGGGACCCCAGAACTGGACATCTTAAACTGCACATGAAAGCGAACATTTTCAAAGTGTGAGCAAATCCAAGATCTTGCAACAATGAATGATGAAAATGTATCACTGGCTTATGATTAATATAGTTCAGCTCTAGCTGTTTGAGGCATGTCAGGCTAAGCACTTCTACCTTTATTGCTACAAACTACACTGCATTGTTATAGCTTGTATAAGATCAGAAATAGCTTGAGAGAAATAATCCTTTACCTATAGCACTAGTACGTGTATATTCCACATAGCTAAGATAAGAAACTTGTTCTGGTATTAAAGGGTTAGAAACTCGTTTCTGAACTCTTTCCAGTTAAATAGGCCATGGCCTGGAAAACGGAACTTGTAGTGAGGCTTAAGAAGCTTAAAGACTTAGTTTATTCAGTAGAAGGCTAACAGGTGATGTGATCATAGTCTAAATCATTGAGGAAGAGTTACTGCAGGAGAGGATACTTCAGTCTAACAGAAATAATGACATGTAGCTTGCTTAATTCAGTTTAAGTAAACTTACCTGTACTTTTAAGACTCAAAATAATTTTTCAGTAACTACACTCAATTAATCAGATAGATATTTTAAGCAATGGAAAATGCATTTTAGAAGGGTCATGTCGGGATTTGGTACAAACTTAATGGTTGACTTTTGAGTCTGAGAAAGGGACCGAAAGATCCTAAATAGGTACAGAAGTTACTTACAAAAGCCAGCAGTATGACTCTGGCTTATGACTCATAGGAATTTATAGAGTAATCATTGCGAAAGTGAAACTCTCCCATCCCAGAGCTTCCTTGTTTTCTAAATGCTGTACTTCAGTGGTTCATAAGTTCACTAATCAGTGAAGGTTCTTGTTCTTCTTGCAGCCTCCTGAAAAAGAAGGTGGCCTACCACGTCATGTTGGAAATAAAACTGAATGTGCCTTGCTGGGATTGCTCTTGGATTTAAAACGTGATTATCAGGACGTAAGAAATGAGATACCAGAAGAGGATTTGTACAAAGTGTACACCTTCAACTCTGTTAGAAAATCTATGAGTACTGTGTTAAAAAACTCTGATGGCAGTTTCCGGATATTCAGTAAAGGTGCCTCTGAGATAGTTCTTAAAAAGTAAGAACAACTAGTATTGTACTTCAGCACTTAAATTTGGCTAAATGTTGTGATAAGTGAGGAGACTGAAGTGCTAAACAACACTGTGCCATAGCCTGCGAAATATTTCTGTCGCCCTGTTCACAGCCAAGTGCAACAGTCCTATACCCTTGTGATTCCAGCCAGCTTCCCAGCTTGGCTCCCTCAACTACTTGGCTTTCTACAGTAACATGGACAATTAGCATTTCTGTTACTTCAGTTGTCACACCCCTCAATAAAAGAGCTGGTCATAATTAATTTAACTTGTGAACTCTGCTCTGGTACAGGGAAAGTGTTTATGAATTGACCTATTCCCTAGTTAAACTACTATGGTTTTAGATGTGGTTGGTCAAAATGTTCACCCATCTTCCAGTAAAGTCCCAACAACTGATATGCCTAAATTCCAGTAATGACTTGTGCCTTCAGAAAGTGATTACTTTTAAGATTACTTTCAGCTTCAAAAGACTCTGCAAGCTGGTGTCCAAGTTGATCATTTTAAGAGGAGGTTGAACTTGGCCAATGGAGAAACTTGAGGGTTTTTAATGTGGCAGAGCAAATTGCTTCCTTATGCATCTGCCCCTCTATAGAGGATTTATTAGAATGAGCTTAGACTCTTAGTGAGAGATTAGTCACCACTGGGACAAACCTTGAGGTGTGAAGAAGGCCACGGTAACTCCTATCTAAGTGAGGAGAGAAGTCAAGTGTGTTGTCTAGGAACAGCAGTTGTAGCCAGTCTGGTTTTAGTTCTAATGTCAGATTATTTCTAGTCTGAGTAGTGCATAGATTGTGTTCACCAGTTCAATTTACCTTTTTGCTTGCTACTAGCCCCCCAAATTGTTATCTAGGAAAGTCCTAATGCACTGAAGAAAAAAGATGAAATCTTCCTTCTCCTCAACTTAGTGCTGACAACAAAAGGTCAATCTTCAAAGGACTCTTGTTCTTTTCGATGTGGAACTTAGATTTAGATGTGAATTTTCTCATAGATTCTAAGCCAAGTCTCATCAGTGAATAAGTATGCCTATATTTGCATTACTTTTATCTTCAGAAGTATTTTGTACCTTATTATCTCATTGAGCAATTGAACTGCAGAAGTTGCTAAAACTCATTCAGCCCAGACTCATGTGGTCCACCTGGCTTCATAACTGAGATAAGAAAATAAATAATAAGGACATTTGGCAAAGAACAAGAAAACTAGACTGATTTGGATACTACTAGAATAGTTATAATTCCAAAACTGTTTCAGAGTATGCACGAACCAGGAAACAGCCTTAGCATTATAAGCCACTTTCTTTACTCACTACCTATGCAGTGCCAGAAATTAACCTCAGAGCTTGTAACCTGGTTTGTCAGTTGGGCTGCTCATTCTTTATTGTCATATGTTTGACTGTTCTGGAGCACTGAAAGCTTAAACGTGAATATTTATAAGACACAAATAAGTCATTAATAAGTGTAGAAGAAATGCAGCAAACTTTTTCAAACAGAGCAGTTTTATTCTTTCTTTACCATCAAGTCAAATATTTGACGTGGGTTCCAGTGAAATCTTTACTTAAAGCTTATTGGCTTTGATTCCATCTTGGAATGCTTTGAATTTACTGTGATTGCAGGTAACACAAGATATCCTTAGTGGCTGCTGACATTTGAACAGATAACCAAAATCAGGAAATTTGGATAGACTTCAAATTTCAGTTATGATGAATACTATGAAGCTTTAAGGGACTGCTTCGTTTTCATTTCCTGGCTGAGGTGGAAACTTTTTTATACATATTGCACCTGGGAATTCCCTAAACCCTTGGACTAAATACTTAAATATAACAATAGTCATTTTAGCAGATCTGCCAGGTCTGAACTTGGTATTTTTAAAGAAGTCATAAATTCTTATTTATATTAATACTAATTTGTAAAACAAATGCATATGGCATTGCTTTATGGCAAAACTTTGCTAAGGATGCAAAGACTAAATTTATTGTGCAAAATATTTGGTAGTGATATTCATGGCATCAATATTGGTAAAGTATGCATGCTGTCTAGTTGCTAGTATGCAACTAAAAGAGCGTGTGTTGAAATGTTAGAGTACATAGTGTTGAATCTAGTTTCTTTTACAAACATTTAAGTCAGACTTAAATATTTGTTTTTCATTTAATGCTTCACATGAAAAACTCCATGCCAGATGCTGAGTATTCTGCACTTAGATTGGGATGGACACACACACACACACACATATACCCCTTACTAATTGTAAGGATAGCATTGATTCATCACAGTACCGGAGTTTGTTTTTAGTGCTTACAGCTGTTTAAGCACCATATGCATGGTGCTGAAACATATTGTACTTCTGAGACTTGCATAACTGTTTAACAAGGTGGGATTATTTTGTTGAACTTAAAACTGGCTTGACTGACTCAACCAGTGCAGACACTAGTCTGTTTACACAGGATGGAGAAATGGATACTCCTGGGAGGTAACTGATGTTTGTGTCCTAAATTCATTGGGCACTATTTTCATTCTAGGATGACTGGCTCAGTTAACTTTCTACACCTAATATATTTTGCAATTGGGAAGAGATTAAGTGCATATGGAGAAGATTACCTTAGGGATGCTGCTACTGGCTTTACTTGTGTGTGTGTGTCTAGCGAAAATAAGGCTTGTGGAAACTTACTGGAGTTGACTAATAAGCCATTGAATAGGCTGAACTTCTGGTTAAAATGCAGTAACTCTTTAAACCTTCCTTTTCAGGTGCTTCAAAATACTGAGTGCTAATGGAGAACCAAAGGTATTTAGACCTAGGGACCGCGATGACATCGTGAAAACCGTAATTGAGCCAATGGCTTCTGAAGGGCTCAGAACCATCTGCCTGGCATTCAGAGACTTCCCTGCAGGGGAACCTGAGCCAGAATGGGACAATGAAAATGATATTGTTACTGGTCTGACGTGCATTGCTGTTGTTGGGATTGAAGATCCTGTGAGACCTGAGGTAGGGTCACTGACTAAACCACAGTGATTGTGTTAAAACAAATCTGATTCATGTTGTTGGTCATGCAGCAAGTACAAGCAACTGAAATGCTACTGTATGCCTTAAGCATACTTGATAAATGAAAATCTAATTTCTTGAGGGGGAAAGTTAATGGAGCTATAAAAGCAGATTAAAACTTCTTAATGTCACTTATGCTGTGTTACTGAAGCTCTGTACAAACTAATGACTTAAGGCGCTTACTGTGCAGGGTCTTAGTAGATGGAACAACTTGTCATTTTTTTACCACTTGGAATATTAGGAGTATTGTTTAGGATGATAGCCATTGTGCTTGTTGCCAGCTTCTCTTGAGGAATGATGGAGAGGAGGGTTTGTCACCTGAGAAACTGAGGTAAGGAGCCCGGCTTGTGGTTGAGGTCTAAGGAGGGGGCAGTATTTTTCAACAGTGGAAGCTTTTATGCCACACGTAAGTGGAACTCCAGTCTGATCTGCACTATCATCACTTCACTCTAAAAGTCATGGGTGAAGTAGTGGAGTGTGAGCTGTAGTTTATTACACATAATCATACATAAAAAGCGAGTACTCAGTACCTTTGAATACTACAGCATAACATGTCATGAAGACTTTTGTAGTGTTTTTAAATACTGCAGCATTTGAAAAATGAAGGGAGGCGAGAGGGGATGTGACATAATGTCAAAGCACCTTTGTTTTTCAGGAAAAGAATTGTGGTAAGCTACTTGGTTTTTTTAAATGTTCCATAACAATAGCCTTGATCTTAAAATAAGAGTTATCCTGGATTGAGCCAAAAACATTCTTTTCACTCACTTGTCTAGATTTTTCAGCTAATGTACAGTCTCTGAGCCTGTGGGGTTTTTTTTATTTGCTTACAGGTACCTGATGCAATAAAAAAGTGTCAGCGTGCCGGCATAACTGTACGTATGGTCACTGGCGATAACATTAACACTGCTCGTGCTATTGCATTAAAATGTGGTATTCTGAATCCTGGTGAAGATTTCCTGTGTTTAGAGGGCAAAGACTTTAACAGGAGAATACGCAATGAAAAAGGAGAGGTAAGCATAATGACTATGTAAAGTAGATCAGTAGAGATTCTAGGTCTCCTAACTGCAAAATATAACCAGTGCTCTTTTTGCAGATAGAGCAAGAGCGAATAGATAAAATTTGGCCAAAGCTTCGTGTTCTTGCACGATCTTCTCCCACTGACAAACACACTCTAGTAAAAGGTAAGTAAAAACTATCTGAACTTCTAAATAAAGCTAGATTTTTTTTTTTTCTCTGCTTGAGAAATGGAGCCAACTAGAACTATCTGTCGTGTTTGGGTGTTGTGGGGTTTTTTGTTTTTTTTTGTTTTTTTGTTTTGTTTTTGTTTTTGTTTTTGTTTTTTTTTTTTATTTTTTTTTTTAAATGACTGAGGAAGACAAAAACAGGGTTTCTCTTTCAGGTTTAATCTGTGCTGTGTTCTCAATTTTGAACTGTAACACAGGTGTAATTTTATTTTAGGTATAATTGACAGCACTGTCTTTGAACAGAGGCAAGTTGTAGCAGTAACTGGTGATGGTACCAATGATGGTCCAGCTCTGAAGAAGGCAGATGTTGGATTTGCTATGGTATGTTTTCTTTTTTTTTTAATCTTCAGTATTTTGGAGACTTATTTTGATAAAATAACTTATAAAATCACTTAAAGGAAGATTAAACAACCGTGCTTGTTTCATGAGCCTAATATACAACTAAGTTAATGAAGTCAACTTCTCTCATACTTAATACTAATTACTTTTTCCTCCTCCCTCAGTCTTACAACTTAACCATGGTTTTATTTGATGGAAAATGTCCTTGTGGCATTTGCCATTGAATGAAACTTAAAAAATGCAGAACCCCAGTCACTTGCAAATCAAAATCTTTTTACACACATACAGGAATAGAATTACTGATACCAAAGACTTCTGAAATTAGTTCTGTTCAACATAAGGCAAAATGATGTTAGGTGGTAAATAGTGTACTATGTTGACTTTGAGTAGAGCTTTTTGCAGTATTGACTGAGCTTATTCATCTGTTTTCCATGAAATGATGCATAGGAACAGGGAGACTACAGTGAAAGACTGCCAGTTGATGTTTAATATGGGTTTGGAGGCTATACTAAGAGATGTCTCTAGTACAACTGAAGTAACAGCATTTTATGACAATCTAGGCTCTGCAATTGTCTGGATGGTTCCTTGGATTAGTTCGCTTTTCCAGTTTAAATTCTCAACTACTCTTTCAAATGGTAGCCAAACCAAGTCTTGGCTTTGTGCTAATACTGGATAGACTCATGCCTTAAGTATGTAGGCTTCAGCTTTCTTCTGTCTCTTTCAAAACACTCTAAGATAGATTCCTCAAGCTCCCTCTTGCCTTAAGATCCCTCCTCAGTCTTAAGCTGAAAAGGTACAGTTTGGCACTAGTAGGTCATTTCAGTCTTTAAAAACTCATTATTAACCTTTTGAAGGAAAAAAAAAAAAAGACCACACTCCTACACCACATGCAGATGCACTGACTCAGTTGCTAATCTTGAAGGAAAAAATGGGAAGAGGAAGAGCTTTTATGTCATTCTCAAGGAGCATTTTTCGAAACCGTAACTTACAAATTTGACAGCTACACATGAAATGTTCTGTAGACTGTAACGATCTTGTTTTAATGAGTATCTGGTTTTTGCTATTGTATAGCTGCTGTAGTTGGCAATGTCAGGGGCAGATTTATTTTCATCTTCCAGAACTTAAATGTTTCCTGCAGTTGCTGTCTATGTTCATTTGTGTAAGAAACTTTCTCTAACTGCTTATCTAAATAGCACTTAAAATATGCCACCTACTATATGATCTTTAAAGGCACCTTTTAAGGTGTACACATAGCTATGCAGGTGACTCATTTCCTTGGCAAGATAATGTATCAAGAATAAGGATCATTAAATTTACTGTTGAGTTAGTGTTTTTGAAATGCCAAAAGCAAAATCAATATCCCTTAAGCAGATATTACACAGAACTGAGCTTAACTGTTTGGATACTGTAGGAGACTACAGGTGCTTAAAAAATCCTATTGCATTGCAATGTCATATGCAATGATACTGTATATTCTACTGTTTAACACCAATGCTTTTCTGCAAAAGGCTTTTGGTAATCTGTATCATTGTCCTGTGCTATGAACGCATGCGTTGCCCTACTGCTGGAATCCATATAGCAAACTCATTAGGTCATAGACTAAACTGGAGTACTGCACCACCTGGTGGCCTTTAACTTGAACAGGGTTCAGTAATGTTTCATTGGGAGGACTTACAGTGTCTTTATTGTCAACTTAAGGATTTTTTTATTAAGGTCTTTACTTTAAAGACAGCATTACCTTTTTTATTGTTTACATTTTCTCATGCTTGAGTAGAACTTGCAAGCAGAACTTGATTGAGTAGAACTTTAGGTATTTAAATTAAAATAGTCTTTGAGACATGGCGCATCAAAGTGAATGCTGACCAAGGATATAATAATAGCTTCTATTACATAAGTCAGTGCAACCTGTTATATTTCATAATGTTTTTCTTTTTCTACCAGGGTATTGCTGGAACAGACGTAGCTAAAGAAGCTTCTGATATTATCCTTACAGATGACAACTTCACAAGTATTGTTAAAGCAGTTATGTGGGGGCGAAACGTGTATGACAGCATCTCCAAATTTCTTCAGTTCCAGCTTACTGTCAATGTAGTAGCAGTAATTGTTGCTTTTACAGGAGCATGCATAACACAAGTACGTACTGGTGGTGGATTGTTTCAGCTAATAAAGGTTGAAAATGTCATGACCGATTAACTCTTGAATTCACACTTGCTGTTAAATACTAGTCCAAAAACCATAATGCTCTTCAGAACATGCCCATGTTGTATAATAAATGCCTTTAATAGCTGCAATTTGTTCCCTTATATTGGAGGGTTTATGTATCTATCTTTATAGGATTCTCCGCTTAAAGCTGTGCAGATGCTGTGGGTAAATCTCATAATGGACACATTAGCTTCTCTTGCCCTGGCAACAGAACCACCCACTGAGGCTCTTCTGTTGAGAAAGCCTTATGGTAGAAACAAACCTTTGATTTCTCGTACAATGATGAAGAACATTTTGGGTCACGCATTCTACCAGCTCGTAGTGGTCTTCACACTCCTGTTTGCTGGTAAGAATAACAAGGCTTTACAAAGTTATTCTAAAAAGATGTACAGAGATGTGATCTTAAAACTAGTTTTTTTTGTTTTGGGGTGTGGGGGTGTGTGTGTGTGTGTAAAGACACCAATTAAGCTGCTGATAAATGCCTTTTATACACAGGTGAGAAAATTTTTGATATCGATAGTGGAAGAAATGCACCTCTGCATGCTCCTCCTTCAGAGCATTATACTATTGTATTTAATACATTTGTGATGATGCAGCTTTTTAATGAAATTAATGCCCGAAAAATTCATGGTGAAAGAAACGTTTTTGAAGGAATCTTTAACAACGCTATCTTCTGTTCTATTGTTCTGGGGACATTTGTTGTGCAGGTAAGTAAATTCTTGGAGGGTGGGGGGAAAATGCACTGATATACTTGTTCTACCTTGGAAATGCTGATCAGCTAGTGCACATTTCTGCAATGTGAAAAACTTCCAGTGTCAAACACACTATACTATAAATCACTTGGAAGTGCTGCTTGACAGGGTTTTCAGGTAAGACTTCTTTGAAAAATGGGTAAAATTGGAGTGTAGAAGTACTTGTATTTACCTTTTGAATTTTCTAGTCCTTCAATTTTATCTTAGTGTTCTAGTCTCTTGATAAAATGTGAAGTTGTATGGTCGTGTGTGTCTCGTTTCCGCCTCGTAGTATCTGCCTGCATGTCTGAAGGAAAGCCCATATAAACAATTATAGAGAAGTTACAACTCCTCATATCTTCTTAATGAGATTAGGACATGAATAAGCTTTAGAAACTGAAGTATCATGTTTTATCTTCCCGATGCAGAAATCAGTTACTGGATTGGTAATATATTTTACAGTTACCTGTATAGATGCTGCTGTTTCAGGTGAAGAACACTGACGTCTAGGGACCTTCTGTTGGTGCATCTAGACAGACTTGTAAAAGCTAGTTAGTTAACTCAGTATATGCTAACAAATGAAATGAAATTACCTGAAATTGATTGGGTTAACACATTAGTGTTGAGAAACAGCAAATCAAAATTGAATCCAAAGAGAATAGTTTCCGAGAACTAGTTTCACCTTCTAGATGGCCTTGACTCTTAATTCATCAGAAGAAATAATGGACAAATTACATTTTTTTTTTTCAGAACTCTCTTTTGTTTTGGCTTCAGTTATTTCAGACCTAAGATAGCTTCTCCTTAGATTTGGGATTCCATGAAGTTGGCCAAATTCATAGCGGTTCAAGCAATACAAGTGTATGCACCTCTGCTTCATGTAAAGTTAATTCAGTTATTCTCCCAGGTTTAGGTCTTTTTAGATGACACTTACTCATAAGCTACTCCTATTTCTAGGGTTGCATATGCACCAGACTGACTGTTGTTGTGGAACAAAGATATGTAGAAATTACTTCTGACTGCAACTCTGTTCTCTGTATAAACTTGGCAGACTGAATGCCTCCCCAAATAAGTAACTCCCAAGTTGTGGCCCCAGTGTTTTATTCTGTGTTAAGAAAAGAAGATGCTCTTGGGCTTTCTGGCTGTCAGGTGTCCTACTGCATGGTCAATACCGTCTCCTTTTCATGCTTGCCCTGCTACTTGAATTGTTGATTCTCCAGGGCAGACTTTCATGCATATAATTCGTATGCAGAGGGATACTTTGCTCACTAGGGCCTGTACAGCCCATTGTAATAGGTAAGTCAGTAGGAGCTCATTTAATTTAGCTTTTGAGATCTCTGCCCCCTCCCACCAAGACTTACTGCATAGATGTCACACCGTGGTGATTTAAAGTCTGACATGTAACACCGATGGGATACATATTTTGTAGAATTATTTCTGAAATGTTTCATGTCTTGTGGATCTACGACTTGTATTAATAGAAGTTTATTAATCGACTTGGCTCTGAGAGGGGTGTTCCTATGACAAATAATGGCTGTAAATTTGTAGCATCAAACACATGCTGTAATTGTGAAATGAATGGAAAGAACTGCAGGCGAAATGAAGTAGTCAGCAGGTTTTTGTGAATGTGACATTTGAAGAATAAATGGGTAGTTCCTGAAATACTGAAAAGCATAAGAAGATGGCTTAGGTTTGGAAACTTGCTCAAACTGCTGAGACAGTGCAAGCGTACGCTTAGTAAGATGGGAAATCCTGTGTTCTAATGCAGAGCTGTCCGTGGTGATCTTGAAGCATTAGGGAATTTTCTAGTAACAGATCACTGATACATGTTGTTTAACGATGTTTCTCTTCACAGATAATTATTGTGCAGTTTGGTGGGAAGCCTTTCAGTTGCTCAGAGCTCTCAATTGAACAGTGGCTGTGGTCCATTTTCCTGGGCATGGGAACACTACTCTGGGGCCAGGTAAATTAGCTTTTTCAAAATGCCAGATATCTACTTGCATTAAAATACTTTACAGGGAAAATACAAATACAGTATCTTTAGCAGTCAGATCTTTCAAGTGGACTATATGAATATATGGAGATTAACAATAAATACTGATTAAAATTGACTAGTTCAATAGCTAGAAAGTTCTTAGTTGGATATTCCTTGCTCTGACTTGGTCAGTTAGTTACATTTCATAACTAGATGCTATGGCTGGTTTATGTTTAGTAACTTTTAACTAAAAGCAGCTGTAGTTACCTTGTTAAATATGAAATTATATCTTTAGCCAGATAAGTACTAGAAGTTCTGTAAAAATACAGCTGCAACGAACATATTAATGCTGAAATATATTTAACTAAGTGTTGAACGGTGTTCTTGAAAAATCAGAGTCATTAATCTTGCTAGTATTTTCTTGATTTAAAAACTTCCTGGAGTAGCAAGAAATGCAGCAAAACGCAAAGCAAATTTCTCTTTAATCTTCATTTGCACAATTATGAAATAATTGGAAAGTTCTCACACCTATTATGCTATTACATTTTGATTTTTAACACATAGCACCCCCACCCCCCCTTAGGGTTTCATTACTATTGCATGGACAACAGTGCTTGTAAGCAGCAAGCTTATTTACATGAAACTTTAGAGCTACAGAGTTTTCCATTATTTAATGACATAGTTGTCTAAACTTTTCATACCACACGAAGAGTTTTCCATTACAGTTTCTTCCCTTCCATTTTGTAAAGGACACTTTGTTTCAGTATAAAATTGGTAGGGTGAATTTTAGTTGGAAATGCATACATAGATGCATATACCCACTTTTAGAATAAGCTTTTTAATAAGATTCTCTGGAAAATTAATTATTTAAAAAAAAAAAATCAAATAGAGTCACTCTGAGGTTTAAAAGTAGCCTAGAAGAGAATCAAGATGGCTTGAAATACCTTTGACCCAAAGTGTCTTGCAAGGGCAAAGCTTCCCTGCTGCAGTTCATGCTGCTCTAGCATCTCATTAAAGTCAAAGAGCTTTTGACTTTCTGAGAATAGTAGAAACTGAAGTGTGATCCGGGAGCATTCATAGTAGCAATTTCAGCATAAAGGGCTGTTTATCTTGCTTTTGGAGCAGTCTTTTTCCTCTGCAGCTGCTGAAATGGTCTTCTAGGTTTGTGATGATCAAGGAAAGCAGTCTTGGAACTGATCTGGATCTGCTAGATGGGACGTTTCAAAAGATGCCTCCCCTTAACTACATAGTTCACCAGAATAGCCCTGAAGGTGGGGATGAAAAGGAAAGCTGGAACAGCCATATGTAGCTTTTGTTTAGTTTAAGATAGATGAACTAGCATACACCAAGTAGCAAAGTAACAATTTGGGATAAGGGTTTTGGAAACATCACTCACCTTGCAAATGGATTGATACCTTCCAGGTCACAAGAATGCATGTCTGTTCTGTGTTTCTGAATTAACTGTGGCTACTTTACTTTAACTAAATGGTGTAGTTCTCACTTGAGGTAACACATCATGCTTATCAAACTGATGGAGCTCTGAAAGCTCTAGATACAAACACGATCTACAGAATTAATGGCTCTTGTAGCTTAAGTACTGCTCCTTCCTGGCATAGTCAAGTAATGTTAAAGTGGAATTCTTTGTCCCTAGCAAGGATGTTTTGTTTTCTAGGTTTGTAGTCCAAGTTTAATTTCACACCTCAGTTGAGGTGATAAGGATATTCACAGCTTTGCAACTATTCAGCTGGAGTGATTGCTCTACATTGATGCACTCATGCCATTTACATTATTTGTTTTTTCAACTTTGCTAATTGTATGCAAGATATTATTTTAAGTCTTAAGCCTGGTATTATATTTATTATATTTTTTAGAAAAGAATAGTCCTGATTTATATTTTTCATTCACCATTAGTTGATTTCAACAATTCCAACCAGCCGTCTGAAATTCCTCAAAGAAGCTGGTCATGGAACACAAAAGGAAGAGATTCCTGAAGAAGAACTAGCAGAAGATGTAGAGGAGATCGATCATGCTGAGAGAGAATTACGTCGTGGTCAGATCTTGTGGTTTAGGGGCCTAAACAGGATACAAACTCAGGTATGGTCTTGAAAAAGGTAGGACGCAGTGGGTGTTATGAGGGATCTCTCCTCTCCATCTCCAGTCCTTTGACTAAGGTGGCAGTTCTAACTGGTGTGACTGAGACTGTCAAAAGAGAGGGGGTATGAATGGATGTGTAATCCCTCAGGGTCCACTGTTTTCTTCAGCTCTAAATGCAACTCTTGCCTGTGTATCTGCTCTATAAAAAAGTGCCTTTTTTTCTTTACCTTTTGTGTGTTATAGATGGGATGGTCCTTTCTCTTGTTCTCTCTCTCTCTTGCTGAGCAAGCTGTCACAATCTCTGATTCCTTGCAGATGGATGTAGTGAATGCTTTCCAGAGTGGAAGTACCATTCAGGGGGCTCTAAGGCGGCAACCCTCCATCGCCAGCCAGCACCATGATGTAACAAATATTTCTACCCCTACACATGTAGTGTTTTCCTCTACTACTGCTTCTACTACTGTGGGGTGTGAGTGTGTGTTCCTAAAGTGCATGAAATTAACATTTCCTAATTCACGTACCTAACGTTTCTCATTTTCTCCTTAGTACTTAAAATCATCGTTCAGGTTTTTATAGAGCTCTTCCACAAAGTGGAGTCCTCAAGACTTTTTTTTCTTAGAGGGCTGAGAACAGGTGGAACAGTTTCAACAAAAGACTTTAATGTGAAAGCTGTGAGCCTGCACATCCTGTGCCTTCACCCATGCGTGTACAGAGGGATGTTTAAGATAAAACGGGAAAACTGTTGTAAATTTTCGAGTATATGCCTCTTAGGGTGACTTACATTAAGTGAATTAACCATATAATCATGGACCCAGGTCAACAAAAATAGATCTCTTGCACTGCAGCACAAATGACACTTAAAGTAAACAAGCTGATGGGAAAGCAAATGCTATGTTAAAAATATGAATGTAGTTAGAACATGGAGCACTAAATGCATTTTCTTTGTAGCCTGTAAGGAATTTCCGAATCTCTGCCTTTGTTGGACCCTTTTTACTGAATAACACAATTTTCTCAACATCAGGATTCAGGTGGCGAAACAAGGCTTCTAAAATGCAAACAAATCAGAAGAAACATTTAATTAGCCAATATAAAAAGGAAAAAGAAAAGGTTCAAGCATCGAATGGTGAAACTTTCATTCAAATCTGAAGGGCTTTTTCCTCTCTAGGTTCTTCAGGCAGCAGTTCATAAGCCGTCAGTGAAATTTTGTCTCACCTTAATTCTGCCCTCTGTATATTGTGCTCTAAGTGGCATTTCAGTTTCAGCCTTCCTCTCTGTAGAGGCTAGAGATTTAATTACTTGTGTATGTAGGCTTAAACTCTGGAGCCTGAAGATGCATAACAGTTGTAGTTGAATACTGATAGCTAATATCTATTGTTGAAAGAGTTTTCCATCTTTATTACATATTACATGTTTAACTTCTCTAACTTCCTAGAAACTGATTAAATAATTTTTTTTTTAAAAAATAACTCTGACAGGGCTTCTTTCCCATCCCCCACCCCCCTCTTAAACTTTCAGATTGCCAGCTGGATGAAGACCCTTAATTTCAGGAGCTGTCTTAAATGAAACGTTCTCTTCTGATTTTTTTCTTTTTTTTTTTTTTTTTTTTTTTGGTTTGGCCAGAATTCCTGTGTGAGCTTGCACAAGTATTTACCTCTGTACTTGTTCTCCATTGGCAAGACAGGTATTTCCCTACCTTGCAGTAATATCGAGAAGTTCAGCTCACAAATTCACATGCCTCAAGAACACAAAATGAAAAGTAGATTTAACAGTAAGGATGCACAGGATTGCATCTCCTAGTTTAAATGCTAATTAGTAACCTGTATCCCTAACTACACTCAAGAACATTAATTAGACATTCAGAATTCTCTAGAGAGCAACTTCATGCCATGCTGCCATTTGAGCAGAATCTAATGGGCACTGCAGCATCTCATTACATCAAATGACCAATGCAGATACGGAGCTACAATAGCAGAGAACTAGTTTTTGATCCTCAATACGCAGTATAGCCCTCTCCTACGCCCTCCAGGAGAAAAACTTTTGATAACTAATACATGTTAATGGGAAGTAGATCTGTTATTTCATTGTGTGTCTCTTTCGGAGCTGTTTGTTGGAAAATAGTTCAGCTGTTCCTATGAAGTGAGGTTGCAAGTCCTAAGCAGCCATCTGGCTAGGAGGATTTGGAGTGCTTACCGCATTCCTTGCTATTCTGGTACTAATATGAGGAAGGCCTGATGACAGTATAAATTACACATAACAAATTGTCTTGTTTGCTCCTCACTTATGCAATTTATTTATAGTTACCTCTCTTGTCTAATTATCTTGAGTAGTTGAGAATAAAGCCTTCAAAACACTAGATTTTCCTCTTTTAAGTATAACTTAAATTGCTGATAGTATGATTCCTGCCTCCGTGGCTGGATTCTGAGAGTCCTGGGTTCAAGGGAGCATCTAGACCACTTGTTTAGTTCGCATTCTGCATGGGAATCGAGCTTTATTGTGGATATGCTTATGCTCCTATGATAATTACAGCTGTCCTCTTAAGCCAAAACCTGTTTTCCATTACTGCTTATGTTCTAACTTACCATCTGTAAGCAATGAAAAACCAGTCCCACCAGGCAGTGATATTTCATTTTGCCACATAAATCAGTGGCACAGTGGGATGCAACATGCCAAATAAAGGCATTGCAAACATTGTCACTGCTGATTTTTGTGGTGAGTGCCAAGGCAGTTTATGCAGCTTGCTGGACTTGTTTAAAGTAACACACCAACTCCTGAACACAGTCAGGACCTAAGACTATCACGTGCAGTGGTTCTGTGGTAACAAATTTGACAATGCATTGCTTTCGGGGTGCCCTTCTCTGTGTTTACAGTGAGGTTGTTTTGTTTATCTTAGGTAGTTTGAAGTCTGTGGTCTTGATCTGCTTGACCTTCCAGCTTCATTCCTTCACCTGGAAGTCACCTTATCTTTACTGTCAAGGAACTCTACGGAAGCACTAGTCATGACATATTTCTTAGTTTGAAACAAGTCATCCTGGATGTTCTAAACCATATCTTTAAATTGGGCTTACTTTTTGTAACAGGAAGTTCTTGTTTACTACAGAGTTGCCCTGCTGCTTACTATACAACAGAGGAGCTTTGGGATCGAAACTCTGCTTTGCTGGAGACTTAATCAAAGTAGAGATGTTGAGAACTAAATAGGGAGCTAACAGAAGGGGGAAACTGTATCTTGATTGAAGTGTTGGACAAAAGGGGTCACTGTCTTCTGACTAACCTTATTTGTTTTATCAGTTCAAGAATGAATCCTGAATTCCTAGCTGGTCAGGGAAACATGTGGGGTGTGGGAGAAGAAGGAGGGTGTGGGGAGGTGGTTTCATAATTCAAATTACAATTTGGAAAACTTAAATTCAAGTCAACCTGGACATGCACAATTTGCAACCTGAAGCTGTATTTTATCCAATTTCAGTCCAAAATGTTTGTTTATGAATTCTGTAAGCTTAGCTTTCAGATTAGAAAAATGTTAGTTACACAATGAAAGGACTTGAAATGCTCAGCCTGGGAATTTTGTCCATGAATTCAATGTAAATTGAAGACTCAAGCAAAGGCTGATTGCCTGCTTTTCTCATACTTCGTGCTACTTGAATAGTCTCTTCAAAGTTACAACCTGTCGTGGCTACTTAATTGTACAACACAGTATTCAATTTCCTAGTTCTGGTCTTAAGTTTCCAAAGCACTATTCAGTAAGGAACTTTCTCTAGTGTGGTAAATGGGTATATACTCGAATATTTACAGCTGTTACAGTGGTATCCTTTTTTGCATGACTCTTCGTAAATGTCCGGTCATTGTGACATTGGCTTACACTTGCTTGGCTTTTTCATAGTCAGTTGACATCCTAATTCCTAGCATGAGAATTAGTAACCCTTTTACCCTCTAACTTATTTTCAGTCTCTCCCCTCCTTCCCGCCCCCACCTCCCCCAAATATTCAATAAAACCCTCACTGAGATTTATTTAATTTGTGAATAAGTAAATAATTGTTGGCCTCACTTCTGAAAAATGCCTAGCCCATTTTAAGTAATTGAACAATTCTAGTGCCATGTCTGAGTTTTTAGGCCCTTCAGCTTTTTGCAGTACTTTTACAATCTTTATTCCTACTGTGTAGACTGGCAGTGCTCTACTGAAATGCTCTTCATTTTTTACAGTTTATTGCAAGTTCCACTGCATCGCATACAAATTTGATTCACTCATGTCTAGCTGTTTGTGGATTCAAACTCATAAGAACCATGCCATTACCGGTAAATCTGCATCATTTTAACAACCTTTTTTCTTTGTTTACAGATCCGAGTGGTGAATGCATTTCGTAGCTCCTTGTACGAGGGGCTAGAGAAACCCGAGACACGAAGTTCTATTCACAATTTTATGACGCATCCTGAGTTTAGAATAGAAGACTCCGAGCCTCATATTCCCCTTATCGATGATACTGATGCTGAAGATGATGCTCCAACAAAACGCAACTCTACTCCCCCACCCTCTCCCAATAAAAATAACAATGCGGTTGACAGTGGAATTCACCTTACAACAGACATGAACAAGTCTGCTACCTCTTCATCCCCAGGGAGCCCGCTACATAGTTTGGAAACATCACTCTGATTGTAAGCTGAATGTTAACACACTAGCTGCATTGTAAAGAAATTGAAACTGGGTCTCTTCACACATTATGATGGACAAGATGATATTCTTGTCTTGGACTTCAACAGAAGACACACTTGTACGAATGTAGATTTATTTTTTTAAAAAAAAAAGCTTTCTGCCAGACTGGAGGGTGCTTTTCTGGGGGTGGGAGTAATAATGAACTCTGACAGATAAACAGTAACTCAGCATAAGTGACCTGTGGATCATCTGTTGTACTTAAGAATGGTCCTGAACAGTGTGTTAGCAGAGCTTTAGTTTATCATGATCCTTTTCTGAGGGGAAGGCTGGGAAGGGCAAGGAGGCCCTGGATCGTTGAATTGATACTTTAATTTCTGCTGTTGGCTGTTAATAATTTGGATTATTTATGTTTATAAATGATACAGATCTGTTTACAAGGTTTGTAGATACTTTTTTTGTTCCTGTTCATAGATGGGAAGCTTCCTTATAAATGATGCAGAGAAAAAAAAAAACAAAAAACAAAAAAAACTAGTCCTTCAAATACTGCTGTATTTTCAGGAAAAGGGTGTTTCTATTGAAACTGTACTAAATTTTGCCTGCAATTTACCTTGTTAAATATTGTAGATAAATTGCTAATACTAATAGCCAAATAGATAACACTAATGCTTTGTAAAAACATGAGCAGTGGTGTTCTAATGAAGTTATGGCCTCTGTCCTAATTAGTTTCTTAAATACATTTACTACTTAATGGTTTTGAAACAACTGTTTAATTTTTAAAAATTTTGAGAAACTTACTGAATAACTTTTGTTCAGAACTTAGTAGGATTGTTTAATGCAGGACATCAATATGTGATGGAACTTGCTTGAAATATTTCTGTTATCTCGGGCAAAATGGATTAAATCGAAATACATCAGAATCTTAGTCCTTTGTTTTTGTCTAAACATGTTAGTTTAGTGCTGTCTTGGTGAACTGTGAGTGGAACTGTGATTTTTTTTTTTTTTTTTTTTTTTTTCTAATCTATAGAATCCTTCATGCAGCATGAGGGCTGTTGGCATTTTGAAAGGGTGTTAGTGGGTAGCATACATGTTCTCCTTTTTGTTTTTGAAACTTGTTTGTAAACATGAATAAATCTGCCCTTTTGTTAAAATAAAATTGCAGCAATGGTTTCTTACAGATTTTTTTTTTCTCAGCTCCTTCACTGGAAACACTGAAAAGTACTCTTTTGTATTACTGGTTAACTTTAAACCTCAATTTCAAGATGGTAACAGCCCCGCTAAAAATAGTACTTTGGGTAAATGGAATCATGGTGGCTGCCTCCAGAATGAATGTAAGCTAAGGTACTCAAAAGTCTTCACTGAGCCAAAAGGATACTCCTTGGCAATGAACAGGTCTGCCTGAAATCCTGAGACTTACTGTGAGTACTGTGTAATAAATGTATCCCTGACCACTTAAGTGAGGGGAAACCGCGAACTGACATATAGCACGGGTAAAAATACATTTTTCAGTTGATTAATATTTTATGCACCTAAACTGAGCTGCTAGCGATTGACTGAAGAAGTTATGGTCTGCCTCAACTGTATTGTTTAAACAGCGAAGGATGATGGAACAATACTTGATCTGATGCGTCCTCATGTTTTCTAGGTCCAATACTGCTTAGAAGAGCAACCGAAGAGATGAGTTGTAAACTCTATTTTTTTCCTTTCTTTTTCCAGCCCTGTGTTCTTTATAATAGCAAGTGATTTTTAAATTTTTTTTTTTTGCCAATTTATCCAGAATTTTGGAGATTTTTTAAAGGGGTCCCTTCAAAGGAGTGCAGGAATTAAGTTGGTAATGAGGGAGGAGATAATACTAGAGCAAACTGCAGAAATGAGCAGGTTAGGAAGCTCAAACGTATCTTTCCTTTGTGGTAGGATACATGCATGCTTGGGTTTGTCCTCTAGTGGCTAATGTTCAACCTGTAGCACTGTATCCCACTGTCAACCACACCTGAATTCAGTCTTTTCTATTGTACTTAAGTAAATACACTGAATTCTAGGCAAAGGGGGTTTGCACTTGACACTTTGTATAGTAATTTCTCACACATGTTTCTAGCACTTCCCTTACGTTGCAGGTCCTAGCTAGAGTGTTTGGTAGGGGGATCAGTTTTTATGTAAACTGGTTTTATCCCTACTACAAAAGCCAGATAAGCATTGGCTTAAAATGAGGAGAGTTTCTTTACCCATGAAGTGCACTGCCATGTGAGAAAGTATCTTCATTTAACTTCATTAACGGATCATAATTTGACTTCATTTGAAAACAGACTTTAATTTTTCCTTCTCTTCTAGCTGTGATCATGACTGCGTGTTATTTTTTTTGGAATAAAGTCTACACTTAAGCCTTTTGGGGGGGGTGGGAGGGTGAATGTAGGCTTTGTACATCAGTGGTCCCTCTTGATTCTGTTAACATCAGTGTGCTGTTCTTACAGGAAATTTCCTTACAGAAATAAGGAAAAGTTGTTTAAGAGGGGGGCTATGCTTTCTTTGTGATCTCAAGAAATCATAACATGTTGCCTAGATTATGAAATGATTATCACTAAGCTCATGAGGCCTTCATTGCCTTTCTGGTTGTAAGGTTTACTTGTCTTTCTTCTTGTAACTGAAATAAATAAAAGTGCTGTTCATCTCAGTCTGTATGGGGACTGAAATTCTTGAATGTCAGTATAGTACTGATTTAAACCTGGAATGCATGCCAGTTCTACAAAACAGCTCTTGCTACGGCTTTAAGTTCATTCCCTTTCAAGAGGTCATGGTGTACACGGTACTGTGATCAAGTAATAGTAACTTTCAACGTAAATGCAGTTCTAGACTGACTACTGTTTGAAGCAGCTTAAAATTCAGTATCCTGGGTAGGATGTCTACTAGTGTATAAGACAAATGTTAGGACACCTAATCTTGGCTTTGAGGGAGGAGTGAAAATTGTTATATAAAAGGACTTAATTTTTTTTCTGTATTGGTCTTAACAGGAAGAGGAAAATGCTGCATCACGGAGTAGTCTGGAGAGAATAATGGAAACAAATGCCTTAATGCCAAACCAATGGGTAAAAGCAGGGGCTTGTAGCAAGCGTAAGCAGCCAAAAAAATATGAACTAACACTCTCGGAGACCTTAGAATAGCAGGAAGTTTTCCGATGTGTTTTGAAGCTAGCAAACGTAATATTCATGGAAGGATAACACTTGTATGGCTGACTGTATTGGGAAGCTATTCCAAAGGCCTGATAAGTTCAGTTTCTACTGCCAGCCTCTGCAGAGCCCTAGAAGAATCCAGGTCATATTAAGCCTTGCATAAAGTAAAGTAGAATATCTTAATGTCCATACTGCTTTTCTGATGCAAATACTTGGTTTTAAAGAGCTCCTGCTTTTTTCCACCTCCACCCTCTCCCCAGGCAGTGCATATATTCTGCTCTTACAGATTCCAAGCCCTCACTGAAATACCTTAACTTTGTTGGATGAGCCTGGCCAGCATGGAGGGTCCAGCTCCGACTTATCTCCAGACTGAACTGGCCTGCTTATTCAGGGCCATGTCATGAGAAATTCTGGGCCAGAATCAAGAGCCTTAGAGCTGTTCCTGCTTATCTTCTCCCCTGGACTGTATACAGAACTACCTAACCACCTTCTTCAAGAGACTGCAGCATCCATCAAGGAGATATGGCTTACACGGTGTCTAAACCAAAAGCCTCCTACAGGTACTATTTGTCCTATTTGTTCAAAGTGAGGTCTAGGATGAGGATTTTCTTAGAAAACTATGGGATGGGCTTAAACATCTGAAAGAAGACGGCATGAAAAAGGTAGCTCGCTAGACAGTGGCAGCACGATTCTAGTTGCAAAGCATAAAGCTAGAGTTGGGACTTACGCTGCAAATGTGGCAAAGCAGGGAGAATTCCTCAGTAGGATAAACAAATTGGATGTGGCTCTTATGCTTTCATAGTAACTCAGCAGCATTAATAGGAGATTATATATGAAAGGAGAAGAGATTGACATCGTTTATGTCCAAAACATGAACAGCTGCAAGGAAGCAGGTAGGTTTCTCATGCCCTGCATGGAGTAGGCAGAGGACTTTGTTCTGTGCCCACATACAACGTTATGACCACTTTGTTAGTGTTCTGGGTTTATTCCTTTAAAAGATAGATAAGGATGCCTAGCATTGCAGAAGATGGGCAGTAGCTTGCTTCAGCCATATCTGATCTTCAAGATTCAGTGAATTCCTCTGTAACTCTTTGCTACTGTTATGTGCACCTGACATCTCCTAGTTTTCTAAAAATCTGTAAAATTATTAGACTGAAAAGGGTTCCTTGGCTTGCCCCTACTGGAAGATGGTGGGAATTCAAGCTTGGAAAAGTCACTAGCAAGGGGACTTCTGGGAATTAACAGCTTTTGGTTGATGGAAGTGTACATTCTGGAATACTGGAAGATCACCTGGCATCTCAAATTCTGGTGTAATGACAAGTATCAGTCCAACTATGAAGCAGCAGTTGCTCGCTGAAATGCAAGTATGCATTCTGTATCCCTTTGATTCATTGCAAAGCTAGCAGTATCTAACAGTATTCTGAACACCTTCATCTGCTTTCCTAGGCTGCTTCTCCTACAGGGCATGAAGCTGAAATATGCTGGAAGACCGTAAGTATGATCATACAAAATCTTTCTATTGCTTCCTCTGTAGCAAAGGCACACTCTTGGCTTTGCTTTATGACAGTTGCTAAGGCACAAAAAAAATGCCCAACAAACCAAAACACCCTACAAATAAGCCTTACAAGATACATCTGTGATCTTTGACAGTTTCAGTCTTACAAATACAAGATTTAATGTGACATTTTCCCTCTTTCACAAGTTGGTTGCTCTGACTGCTGTAGGTGCAAAGCACTTTCAGTTATGACCTAAGCTAGTCTCAAGAGCTCCTAAAGGTAAGCCACTATTTGGCTGATGTTTGTGGGGAAATACGGAGTTTATTTGGAATACTGTGCTGGCAGCTACTGCATAGTGTTTTGTGCTATGTATATTAGGAGAGAACCTGCAAAACTATCAATTTAGAACATTCAGAACCTTGTTGTAGGACCTGTCAAAGGATACATGGGTCAGGCATAGATTATGTGAAATAGGGAGTTCTTGGAACTGATATTTTGGTAGCAAGCGATAAGATTTGCTTTCTGACAACACTACTTTTAAATATGGGAAGGTATGTTTTTATTCACTTGCCATGTATTGATCCTTAATATTCTAATCAGTGTAATAGTCTAATTCATTGAGGACCATCATCCAAAAAGCACCCTGTTAAGCTAGTATTTTTAACTAAAACAATACTCTAGAAAAGTTACTTTCTGGTGTATTTTAATATCAAAAAAGATGAGTCATTCCTAGCTCTTTTCCTTTTACCAAATCAACTGGGCTCTGTTCTAATAAATGTAGTAGTAGTATGGACATGACCTATAATTTGGTATCACTGCCCTTTCTCCTTTTCCCCCTTCCAGTCTGCCAAGGAT